ATTATTGTACAACTCTTTGTAATATGATTGAACTATATGTGAATTACATGACCATAAAGCTGCTTTTTCACCAAAAAAAAAAAGATTAATAGTCTTTATGCACTTAGGGCAGGGTCCTCAAACTTTTTAAACAGGGGGCCAGTTCACTGTCCCTCAGACCCATTGGAGGGCCGGACTATAGTTTTATAAAAAAAACTATGAAAAAATTCCTATGCACATTGCACATATCTTATTTTGAAGTTAAAAAACAAACAGACCAAAAACACCCAGCGAGCCGGATAAATGGCCTTGGCGGGCCCGCATGTGGCCCATGGGCCATAGTTTGAGGACACCTGCCTTATGATATTGCTGTGAGTTGGAATTGACTTGACAGTTTTTGGATTTTCTACTGAGACTGACAAGTATGTTAGTGAGGGAACATGTCTGTAGCCACCCAGAGATTACAAAGATATATTTACATACTTTCATTTGGAATAAGCATGTGCAAGCATGAACTTGACTCTTAGTAGCAACGCTATTGGCTTACCCATTTCCTTTCATTCTATTCCCCCACCCCCCCACCCCCCACCCAGACTTTCAGATGCTTCTTTGTATGAACTGAATTCTGTTTGTAAATTATATTAACACTATAAATAATAAGCTAAGTGGGGAAAATGTATGGCAGAGAGATCAGAGAAACGATAGAGAGGGTTGGGCCTGGCAGGTGAGATGGAGACTCGTGTCTTCGTGGCAAAGACATTGTTAAGACTAAATTGACAACGTGAATGACTTGGCAGAGGTTGTGAAGGAAGTTAGGTATATTGTGTTTGAAAAAGTAGTTAATTCCTATGATGGAGGGAGAATGAATGTTTTAATAAACAACAGGTACCTATGGAATGAGAACCGTGGTGACACTGTCAGGTAAAGCTTGAGCTAAGGGCAAGGTCAGCTGTTCAAGCCGGCCAGCCGCTACATGAGAGAAAGGTAAGGCACTGGCTCCATAAATACTTTCAGCCGGGAACCGATTATAGAGCTGCTGTGAGTTCGAATCATCTTCATAGCAAGGTTGTTTTTTTCTTTGTTTGTTAGTTTGGTGGAATGTAATGTTCACTTAGTTGTCATCCAAACAATAAGGGGCTGTGATAACTTTATGGGTCTATGTGATATGGTTGAAATATGGAATGATATGGTCTATGTATTAAATCCCAACTTAAAAAGAAGTTTATGGGAAAATACATTGTCAGGTAAATCTTTCCACAAACTTTTTGAAGGTCATTTGTATATACGTGGGTTTTAGGTCCAATAGAAGTTGGGGATCAAGTAGAGGTTGGTAATATCTGTGTGTTTGATCAATATATGAATAACAATAGATCATATCACTATGGGAGAACATAGTTGGAGGAGAAGGGTTCAGAAGAGAAACTACAAAGGTAATTACTTCAACACCTGAGAGGAAGGGTGCAGCAAGGCTAGGGGACTCTCACAGGACACTGAAAGATGCTCCTTAACTAGCCATGGCCCCTATGTACACAGGGGACCTCATCTTATCTTTTAAAATGAGTTGGAACATTTTAGTGTAGGCAGTGACATTCTAGACAACAAATCTGTTTCCCTTTCAATAATTCAATAATTCAAAACCCATTTTGGTTTTGTGGTATTAAATGGAATCCACTTAACGTAACAGCACCTTCCTACTTCCTCCCTGCCTTCCTTGTTTCCATTTGCCCCTTCTCATGCACAGCCCTGCCTCTGAGCTTAGTTTTCAAACAAGCGCTGTTCTTCCCGTTTGATTGGTCTGAGGGGGACGTTTCTCACGGATGGTATTGCTCCTGTGCCTGGAGATTGCCTGGCTCGAAGGACGTTTCGTTGCTGACTTAGCGAGCGTGTATGTCGAGGTCTCGGGTGTTCCGCTGATCCTTAGCAGAGATGTCAGCCTGGCTTTTACAAGACTTTTCATGTGCTTGACCGGTTTCTCCCCTTTGGTGACGTTTTATTGGGAGCTTGGTCAGTGCGGTCTGTAGTGGCGGCCAGGCACCCTCTAGGTCTTCTGGATTCAGGTTGGCAGAGCCTGTGGTTCATGTGGCCCATTGGGCCCTTGCTCGGATTGTGTCCTTGAGTCTCTGCTATTCTTCGCTCACTATTCTTCGCTACAGACAGGTAGGGATCAATGGTTGCATCTTAGATGGCTAACATAAGCTCTTGAGACCTCAGTACCCCTCACAAGAGTAGGATCGTGAACTTGGATTTTATGGACTGTGTAATGCCGAATAATATAGATGTCTCCTGAGATTTTTGCCCTAAACTTAATAACTCAGTGATCAGTTCCCCAAGGTATTTGGTTAATGTTAATTGCATAATTTTATAATTATATGTGAAGTTGTATGTTTCACAATTATATGCTCAATTATAAACCTGGATATACTCACAGCACATACATATAAATACATATGTGTTGATATCCACTTCCAAACCAACATGTGCTCTGGGATATCCTCCCATATTCTATCCCACACCTGTTCAGCCGACAGATCTGCCTATTTATCCACTCATAGATTGTCGTGTGTCACTGCTGTTACAAGATTGCTGTGCAGTTTCCTATTGTTGTCTTTACTTCTTCATACTTCCTAGGACCTTCTTTTACTTTTGTAATGTTGTACTCACCTCCCTTTTTTTATATACAGTCTTCTTCTTAAACTAAGTTTAAACATATCTACTATCTACTATATTTCCTTCCCTCATCCTTCCATCCATGATAACCATCAAAGAATATTTATTTTTAAGTAAACCTTTATTTTTTTCTACTACAATATTTGCCTTTTTATGATTGACTTATTTCACTCAGCATCACACGTTTGCTGTGAGATGTAGCACCGATCTCTCCTCGGTCTCTAGCATGTGAGATGTATCAGAGTTTGCCTGTCCGTTCATCCACTAGTTTGCACTTAGGTGGTTGACATCTTTTTGTTATTCTGAATAGTGCTGCTACGAACATGGGTCTGGATATATCTACTTGTACCCTGGCTCTTACTTTTCTAGGATATAGAGCTAGACGTGAGATTTCTGGATCATGTGGTATCTAAATTTCTAACTTTAAAAAAAGAAATATCATTCTGTTTTCCATAGTGCTTGGTGTTTTACCATTTTGTAATTTCACCAGCCCTGTATGAGATTTCCAAACCTTATTGCTAGTCTTGATTTCCAAGCACTTCTTTCTTTCTTTTGCTTTGGTTTGTTTTTCGCTTTGCTTTGCTTTGCTCGCGGCTGTTATTTCCAGGGGAAGAATGGGTCTCCTTGCTGTGATGTACATCTCACATGGCTAGTCATCACAAGCCTCTCCTCGGATAGGCTTTGGCCATCTACTTGTTTTGTTTTGTTTTCAGTGAAATCTGTGTTTCTATTCTTAGCCTGGTTTCTACCATTTGAGTTTTCCTTTCTGTGGCTGAGCAATTTCAAAGATTAGTCACTTGTCGGATAAGCTGCTGCCAAAGTTTGCTCCCAGTCCCTTGACTTTCCTCTTGCTCTTTTGGAGAAGGCTTTTGATGCTTAATTTTTAGAGCTCCCAGTTGCCGAATTTATCTTCTTCTGTTTGTGAGTTTTTAATAATTTTTGCCATGAGAATTGACTTGATAGCAGTTTGGTGCCGAGCTGGGTGCCTGAAGCGTTAGGCTACTGGCCGTACTCTCTGAAGCCACCACCTCCCCTTGGGAGAAAGCTGTGACAGCCCTTCCATCCAGACTCAACCGTAGAGAGCCTGTGGGTGGTCTCCTCTGTCCAGGATTTAGAAACAACTTGGTGAGCGTGAACTTTTTCTGGTTGCCCTTATAGTTTCTTGGGGAATCTTTATAGTTTTAGGTCTTACGTTTAGATCTTTAAAACGCATTCAGTTCGTTTTTGTATATCGTGTAAGGTAAGGATTCTGTTTCATTTAATTTCTGATTCATTTTCTTCCAAATGAATGTACAATTTTGCCAGTACCATTTGTAAAAGAGAATATATCTTCCCAACTTCATTGATTTTGACTTTTATTTTTGATTACTTAATTCTATTAACTTCACCTGGCTATGTTCAATTTTGTCACGAGGGGAGCATTATACTTAGCCCATAAAATTGTTCTAAAAAATTTTAAAGATAAACATACAAAATACTTAACTCTGGCAAATATCAAGACTTTTAATTAAATCAATTTAATTAAAGGTAACTGTCTTTAGAGAATCTAATGAGTAAATGCCTTTACCTTTAAGAAGTATTATGTGCAGTAACAATCTGCTCCCTATTTGCTTGTTGACTTAGAAAAAAGCCACAAGGTACACTTGATAAGTTTCGGGAATTAAATGTATGATCTCTGATGCCAGTTCCCAACATGTAAATAGTCAGATCTTTCTGTTACTTAACTATGCTATCTTGTGTTATATTATTAGATATGAAATTCGAGATGATCATACCTTGAAAATTCGGAAGGTGATGGCTGGAGATATGGGCTCATACACATGTGTGGCAGAAAATATGGTGGGGAAAGCTGAAGCGTCAGCTACTCTGACTGTCCAAGGTAGGATTGGGGACCCTTTCCCTACGGTTGTTTTGGAATATGACACGTATTGTTTGAAAAGCGAAGAAGAGCTCGCTAGAGCAGTCATTAAATAAGCACTATAACTACTGATAAGATGTTTGATTTCAAATATGTTTAGGCTTTTGCTTGTTTCTTTAGTTGTTTCCCATGGGAACTCGGTAAGTATTTGTTATAGGAAATTGGAAACATTTTGAAAAGTTTTACCTTACTCAAGTAGAGGAAGAGAATGTGCTTTAAATCTCCAGGGTTGAAACACAGAACGACGGTCGTCTTTTAATTAAATGCCTACGAGTGCCATGAAACTCCCTTCTCAGTGGGAACCATAAATCTTCCATCATGGCAAATTATGCGCCTCTAGGGGTCTGCATATTGTACCGCACCAAAGTGAGGACATCGTCATCCCCTGGAGAATGGGAGCTCTACCAATGAGAGTGGGGATTTTTACAATCTTTTTTTTTTTTCTGGGTACACAAGGCCCGTGAAGTAACAGATATACAGTGTGTTCAGGGAATGAATTGTCCTTACAGTTTACTCATTTTGATAAAGATTTTCGATTTGTTGGTCCATTAACCATAGTCGGAGCTGTGTTGTGAAGGTCGGAGTCATGTCTCATGCAGAAATGCTTGCCCCCCTCCAAACTCCAGAAGTTTTCATTCACCCTCTTGCATGATGTTAGCCTGATTCCAATCACAATCGTTCATCTCAGGATTTTCCGCTGTTTTTCCTCTTTTGAGGGCATAAATGTTCCTTATAGAAAAGGGGAGACAGTGACCTTTGAAGAACATGCTAATGGTGAAAACAGCCCCTATTTTGACAAGTACGGAGTAAACAGGGGTTTTGGTCATAAGCCACTTTGCTTGTTTGGGGGTCTAACATTAGCAACACTCGGTGCTGTCATCTTTTCTGAACCCTGTCTCCTCTAAGACTATTACGAACAAAAAGTGGCTTTTGAGGGAATGCTTCTACTGTGGGTTTTCTACAAAAGAAACTTGTGGGCTTTTTACATTGTAAAAAGCAAAGAAATAAAGAATATTTCCTTCCTGTCTCTGAAGCCATTATGCCTCACTTTGGAGTTTTTAGCTTAACCTCATAAAAACAAAAGGGGGGGAAAGTTTCAAGAGCAAACATTACGTTTCTAAAGCCTAGACTACTTCTCTTTAATCTAAGTTAGACTGGAATGCTACACAAGACTACAAACTGTAAGAAAAGAAAACGCTTTTACATTTAGAGGAAGCACAAATTTAAGAGATGTCAAATCCAAGTTCAAAAGCCTTCCCGAGGGAGTGAAAATCGCCCAGACATGAAAAGGTGTATCTATCTCCCGGCAATTGTGACAGGGAAGTTGATTGAGAGCCACATTGCATGGTGAGATAGATTTCACTCTATGTTTCACAGCCTTTTGCCTAGGTAGCTTGATGCTGTTCAAATGGTACTGGCAAAATGGTACAAGAGACAATGATATGAAAAGAGAGTCTTCATGCAATTTTAAACCCATTTCCAAAGCTAATTCAGCCTTAGGTTTTCTTTTTGCAATTCTTGTTCCCTACGCCTGAATTTCAATAGAAATTGAACACAAATTGACAAATCCAGAGTCTACTTGAGAAACTTAGGCGTTCTTATTATAATGGCCGTTGGGGAGGTATTATTTCATTCCAATATTAAAATAAAAAAATATATGCAAGCATCCTTGTTACGTTATCTTTTGAGATGCTGCATATATACAATATGTGAAAGAGAGAACTTGCTTCCCAACTGCAATAGATAACTAAGAAAAAAGCTAATCCAAAGGAAATGTATGTGTCTTGTTTCTTCATTTAAAGCCCGTGTTTAAGAATGAGTGATACTGCAAAGGAAACTAATCAGAAAGGAATCTATTAGATCGCAGGAAATAATTACAATAAGAAATTCAGTAGTGCAGTTATGTTGATACCTGTTTCTAGTGTTAGGGCAGCAAAACCCTACGCTCCTGGCCGAAGTCAATCCGCTAAGTGATACCGTTGACCAGGGTGGGTAGATCATGCCCATGCAGCTCTCATGAACTCGCACCTCTTGAGAAGAATCCTGTCGCGAGAGTTAGTCTTCCTTTTCCACCCCCTACGTCCCAAACACCAAAACTGAGCTCAGTGCCATCGGACACGGAGGGCCCCTGGGGGTTTCCAAGACTGTAACTCTTTCCGGGGGTGGAACCCCTCGTCTTTCGCCCACGGGACCTTCTTATGATCCAAAAGTCAGCGGACGCGGCCCGCTTGTATTTCTTTCAATGCCCTTCTCTCGCTGCCCATGATTTCTATGTCTCATGCTCATCACATCATCCGCCACCTCCTGGGTACTTTCGTTGATCCATACTTTTTAAACTCTGAGAAACGACTGGACAGAACATAACAAAATTTGAAAAACCGTGATGCTTAAGTAATTCTAGAGAGCTCGTTCACTCGCTGGTGCTGTAAAGGAGAAACCAAAACTATCCACATCATCTTATAATGGTCCATTATGTCCCAAAGTAATGAAACATTTTTTCCTCCAGTGTAAGGCCTCTATATTTTAAAAACACATGCATTCTTTATAGTGCATATTAAGTTTTGGCAAGTGGATTGATTTCTGGAAATCATGACCGTTGGAAGGAGCTCTTTGACACAGGAAGGAGCCCTGGTGGCACTTTTGGTTACGTGTTAGACTGCAGACCACAAGGTGGGTGGTTCAAACCGCCAGCCACTCAGTGGAAGAAGGATAAGGTTGCCTCGGACCCCCTCTGTAGTGTTGCTGTAGCTCAGTCATCGCTGTGGCAGGCAGCGGCAGCGGTTAAAGCTTTTGACTATTCACCAGCCAGCTGTCCTGTGGGAAAAGATGTGGGAGTAGAATCCCAAAAATATTACAGCCTGGAAACCCTATCAGAAATTCTACTCTACCCTGTGGGGCAGCTTATGTTGGAATCAACCTGACAGCAGGGGCTTGGCTTAGATTGTATGACCACTGGAGAATTGAAACGTTTCAAAAACAGTTATAGTTTCTGTGCAATAGAATGTTGTTCTTAAAACACAAAAACTCAGCAAAGGGGATCTACCATCAATTCTGATTTCATTACCTCAAAGAGTCACTGCTGTTCGTTTTTTTAATTCTTAGAACTTCAGTTTGCTCACTATAAATTGAGGTGATTTCTGGTCAATTTTTCTGAGAATTCTGAGATTGTCCGTGAACAAATAGTCCCACAAATGGCTTGTTCTCCTTCATGGTCGCTGAGAACCCTCAATTAGACCTCCAAGCTGTGGGTGAAATATGTTTCAGAAAGAATAAGCTTTGAAGAGATAGCTTCCCGCTAACAGCCTATCACTGCACACTTAAAACCTATGCCACATTTGCTTATGGAATAACAATGGTAAGATTACATTTCTTGGTAAACAATGTCAAACCCACTCAACCAAATGAAAAAATTGGTTCATAATGTAGAAAGTTTTATTTTACTTGGCGTTGAGGAATTTTTATGAAAATTGATTAATATCAGGACATTAAGGATCAAAATGAAATCCAGCCATGGAACGAAAGGCACTGTACTACAGAGAACATCCACGTCCCTTTAACTTGCATGTCAGTTTGATGTACCACGAAAACTATGGTCAGAATGAAACTCAAAGGCTCTGTCATCATTTAATCTATCAAAGAATAATTCATGTTTGTTACATGGACACCTATGGGCCAATAAACCCATTGTAAAATAATTATCTTTTGAACGATCGAAACAAAAATGTGTTGCTGCCTAACCTCTAGTTAGCCAGAACATTAAATTATTCTGAACCTTGCATTCTGTCATTTTCTAGACAAATCAGTAGTTTATAATGTATACAATTAAACTACATAAATGTTGCTTCATTTACACTGCGATCTGACACGTAGGCATTTCATGTTTATATATCTCTGTATTTCCTCCCCTGTGCAGCCTCACCCCTTCTCCAAGAAAATTAAACTCCATTTGTGGATCTCACCTACACAGACAGCATTGAGCATCTTTTGCAAATATATGCCACCTCACTTTTTATTTATTGTTATCTTTGCACTCTAATGCCTCCATTTCACAAGTCTTATCATTGCAGGCTCTCTCTTGAGAGGAATGAATTACCTATGGAACTAGTGTTTCATATTGCCTAATGGCCCCATCTTCTAAGACACTCGATAGATAGTGTAGTATTTATAAGCATTTTATAGGTTGTGACCTTACTATAAAATATCAAGTCTAACCAGAACAAAACAGAGGCACAGAGGTGCTCTGCCAAGCTTTTACACAGGGTTTCATTGAAACTTCTCCCAGGCTTTCTCCTGGTGTTCAGAGAATCATTGCAAGTTTGTTTTATGAGTTTAAGGTCTGAATGGAAACACAAGAACCCTGCTGGGGCCATAGGTTTCCCAGTGTGCTGCCACCCTCAAAGGGGGTCGTGTGAACCCTCTAGTTTCTCGGCAGGTAAAAGACAAGAACGTCTACTCCCATAAAGTGGCAGACCCCTGAAGGGGCAGTTTAACTATGTCTGAAGGGGTCACTCTGAGTCAGAATTAACTTGAGTTTGGGGAATGGTGGAATCTAAACCGGTCAGATTTTATTAGCAACTTGCCCAGAATCAGTCAAATGCTAACTTACATGATCCTACCTGTCTTTATTTTAAAACACTTTGTGTTCATCTGATCAAGTGGGTATTTACCCCACCCTGTGCTTTGTTGTAACCTTTAAGAAAAGCAGAGTGGATGTACCAAAAGCAGTTTTTAAATCCATACGAGTACATTACTGTTTACTTATGATGACAATCATGTTGTTAACTTTTAAAATAATTCCATTTTTAATGTGTTATTCCAAATTAAACATAAAAGAGAAGTTCCACATCCAATGTAATTTAAATGTATAATTTCTGTCATTTCCAAGTTTGCCCTCAGCTGGGCAAACTCAATGGCATTCTTAATCTTTCTGTCCCCTAGCCTCCTCCCAGAGAACGCAGCTC